GCGAGCGGGACGTGAAAACAAACATTTCGCCTGAGACATCCTTTGAATTCTGGCCCCCCACGAGGCCACCGCTCGAGACATCCTCCAATTTTGCAAAACCAGCGTTTTGCTCGAGATATCCTCAACAAATTATGAAAAACAAGCGTTTCGCTCGAGACATCCTGTCAAAATCCCAAGAAATCCAAATACCCGCGCGCGGGACGCGGCACGCGCGAGACATCCTTGGAATTCCTGCGCGAGGGTCGCTTTTCCGTGTCGCGGTCGGCTCTGCAAAACCAGCGTGTCACTCGAGACATCCTCAACAAATTCTGAAACCAAGCGTTTCGCTCGAGACATCCCCAACTCTGGTAAACCAGCGTACCAGCGTCCCTCGCTCCGAGACATCCTCAACGAAATTCTTGCTCCGCTTGAGACCGAATTCCTGCGAGCGGCACGTGAAAACAAGGCATTTCCGAAGACAACCCCGATGAAATTCTGGCCCCCCACGAGGCCCCCCCCCCCGCTCGAGACAGAATCCCCCAATTTTGGCAGAAATCGCAGCGTTTCGTCGCTGAGAATCCTCCCACAATTGTGAAAACAAGCGTTTTCGCTCGAGACATCCGTCCAAAATTCTAAGAAATTCTTGACAAAACAACGAATTAGTCGAGCATCCTCGGAAATTCCTGCGCGCGGGGGGCGCCGGCCCGCGCGAGCATCCTTGGAATTCCCGCGAGCGGGACACGAAAACAAGCATTTCGCCTGAGACATCCTCTGAATTCTGCCCCCCCGCTCGAGACATCTCCAAATTTTGCGGAAACCAGCGTTTCGCTCGAGACATCCTCCACAAACTATGTAAAATAAGCGTTTCGCTCGAGACATCCTGCCAAAGTTCTAAGAAATCCTGACAAAACAGGCGAATTAGTCGAGACATCCTCGAAATTCCTGCGCGCGGGACGCGGCACGCGCGAGACATCCTCGGAATTCCTGCGCGCGGGGCGCTTTTCCGAGTCGCGGTCGGGGCTCCAGACCCCGTTATTTTTCGAGGATTCTGCGAAATACGCTCCGCACCCTCTTTTTTACGAGGGAAAGCGGGGGTCTGCGGACCCCGTTTTTTCGAGATCCGAGATTGGGGGGCGAACTTCCTCTAGCGCACGCACCACACAGATAAGAACGCACTTTTTTTCTAAAAAAATCGGCACTTTACCTCTTGATGTAATCGCAATAATTTCGCCGGCGCTTGACCCTTCAGACGGAGGTTTAAACAGCTAAAAGGGAACCCTGGGCCCAAGCCGTTCCGGGAAAACGAAAAGCGTCAGAACCCCCTCCCCCCTCCGCCCTCCCCCCTCCTCCCTCGTCCTCACTCCTCCTCCTCCTCCTCCCTCCTCCTCCCCCTCCTCTTCCCTCCCCCTCCTCCTCCTCCTCCCTGCACTCCATGCCCCATTCAGCTCATCACACTGCAGCCCCTTACGCCAACATGTTCTAACTTGCGTTAAGAACATGTTGGCGTCACTTGGCCTGGCTTGCCACTTGGCTTGCGTTACGTAAAAAACATGATTCGACCCACGAACCCGGAAAGGAATATAGCACTGTACCACATGGCAGCGTTTTCAAAGACACATGATTGGGTGACGGGCAAATGCAATGCTGAGTGTATCGATCTTGATGTACCCTGCCGAGGGCTGTGCTGTGCTGCACCGTGCTGAATTGCGATGTGCCATGCCGCGATTGTGCTCTATAGCCTCGTGGATCGAGTCCTCCTTTGCATCCGAGTCCTGACCGAACTGATCTCGATCTTAAGCTCGAGCTGCCTGAACACATAGTAGCTGCCCCAGAGCTGATGGACAGGGGAGCATGTCAGGAGGACGCGCCGCGAAGCGTCCCAAGGGATGCGCCAGGCGACGTGCCAGGGGACATGCCATGGGGTCGCACCGCGGGACGTGCCAAAGGGACGCGCTACGGAACGTGCCAATGGATGTGCCACGGGATGTGCCAGGGGACGCGCCACGCGACATGCCAGGGAGACTCGCCAAGGGACGCGCCACGGAACGTGCCACGGAACGTGCCAAGTTGCAATGCTGAGTGTATCGATCTTGATGTACCGTGCCGAAATCTGTGCTGTGCTGCGCCGTGCTGAATTGCGATGTGCCATGCCGCGATTGTGCTCTATAGCCTCGTGGATCGAGTCCTCCTTTGCATCCGAGTCCTGACCGAACTGATCTGGATCTTAAGCTCGAGCTGCCTGAACACATAGTAGCTGCCCCAGAGCTAATGGACAGGGGGGCATGCCAGGAGGACGCGACGCGGAACGTCTCAAGGGACCCGCCAAGCGACGTGCCAAGGGACGTGCCATGGGGACGCACCGCGGGGCGTGCCAAGGGGACGCGCTACGGAACGTGCTGGGGACAAGCGTTTCGCTCGAGACATCCTGCCAACATCCTCAGAATTCCTGCGCGCGGGACGCGGCACGCGCGAGACATCCTCGGAATTCTTGCGAGCGGGACGTGAAAACAAGCATTTCGCCTGAGACACCCTCTGAATTCTGGACCCCCACGAGGCCCCCCACGAGGCCCCTGCTCGAGACATCCCCCAACTTTGCAAAACCAGCGTTTCGCTCGAAACGTCTTCAACAAATTATGAAAGACAAGCATTTCGCTCGAGACATCCTGCCAAAATTCAAGGAAATCCTAGCAAAACAAACGAATTAGTCGAGACATCCTCGAAATTCCTGCGCGCGGGACGCGGCACGCGCGAGACATCCTCGGAATTCCTGCGCGCGGGGCGCTTTTCCGTGTCGCGGTCGGCTCTGCAAAACCAGCGTTTCGCTCGAGACATCCTCAACAAATTCTGAAAACAAGCGTTTCGCTCGAGACATCCCCAACTCTGCAAAACCAGCGTTTCGCTCGAGACATCCTCAACAAATTCTGAACATGCCAGGAGGACGCGCCGCGAAACGTCCCCAGGGACGCGCCAGGCGACGTGCCAAGGGACGTGCCATGGGGTCGCACCGTAGGCCGTGCCAAGGGGACGCGCTACGGGACATCCTCAAAATTCCTGCGCGCGGGACGTGGCACGCGCGAGACATCCCCGGAATTCCTGCGAGCGGGACGTGAAAACAAGCATTTCGCCTGAGACATCCTCTGAATTCTGGCCCCCCACGAGGCCCCCGCTCGAGACATCCCCCAAGTTTGCAAAACCAGCGTTTCGCTCGAGACATCCTCAACAAATTATGAAAAACAAGCGTTTCGCTCGAGACATCCGGTCAAAATTCTAAGAAATCCTGACAAAACAAACGAATTAGTCGAGACATCCTCGAAATTCCTGCGCGCGGGACGCGGCCCGCGCGAGACATCCTTGGAATTCCCGCGAGCGGGACACGAAAACAAGCATTTCGCCTGAGACATCCTCTGAATTCTGGCCCCCCGCTCGAGACATCTCCAAATTTTGCGGAAACCAGCGTTTCGCTCGAGACATCCTCCACAAACTATGTAAAATAAGCGTTTCGCTCGAGACATCCTGCCAAAGTTCTAAGAAATCCTGACAAAACAAGCGAATTAGTCGAGACATCCTCGAAATTCCTGCGCGCGGGACGCGGCACGCGCGAGACATCCTCGGAATTCCTGCGCGCGGGGCGCTTTTCCGAGTCGCGGTCGGGGCTCCAGACCCCGTTATTTTTCGAGGATTCTGCGAAAAACGCTCCGCACCCTCTTTTTTACGAGGGAAAGCGGGGGTCTGCGGACCCCGTTATTTATCGAGGATCCGAGATGGGGGGCGAACTTTCCTCGAGCGGGCACGCACAAAACGCACTTTTTCTAACATGATGGACCCACGAACCCGGAAAGGGATAAAGACATGTGCAGCATGGTCACGTTTTCACGATACCCAACTGGGCGACATCTCACGAAACATCCCACGAGACACCCCGCGAAACATCCCACGAGACACCTCACGAAACAACCCACGAGACACCTCACGAAACATTCCACGAGACACCCCGTGAAACATTCCACGAGACACCCCACGAACAGGCAACCACTCAACCAGACACGCCACGAAACATTCCACGGGGGTGCGACTGGGTGTGGTCGTGCTGGGGTGTGGTCGTGCTGGTGGTCGTGGTCGTGCTGGGGTGTGGTCGTGCTGGGGGGTGGTCGTGCTGGGGTGTGGTCGTGCTGGGGGGGGTCGTGCTGGGGGGTGTCGTGCTGGGGTGTGCTGGGGCGTGGTCGTGCTGGGGCGTGGTCGTGCTGGGGCGTGGTCGTGCTGGGGTGTGGTCGTGCTGTGGTGAGGTCGTGCTGGGGTGTGGTCGTGCTGGGGTGTGGTCTTGCTAGGGTGTGGTCGTGCTGGGGTGTGGTCGTGCTGGGGTGTGGTCGTGCTGGGGTGTGGTCGTGCTGGGGGGTGGTCGTGCTGGGGCGTGGTCGTGCTGGAGCGTGGTCGCCGGCCTCAAAAACAAGCGTTTCGCTCGAGACATCCTCAAATTTTAATTCGCCGGCGCTCAAAAACAAGCGTTTCGCTCGAGACATCCTCAAATTTTAATTCTCGGGCTCGTTATTTATCAGGGAAAAATTCGCCGGCCTCCTTCGACCTCGTTATTTATCAGGGAAAAATTCGCCGGCCTCCTTCAAGCAGGCACCGGGGGACTTGTTTACAAACTAAAAGAGAACCCTGGGCCCATGCCCTTTCCGGGAAAAAAATCAGCACTTTACCTCGTTATTTATCGCAAATAATTTCGCCGGCGCTTGACCCGTCAGATCCGGGGGTAAACGGCTAAAAGAGAACCCTGGGCCCAAGCCCTTTCCGGGAACATTGCTGGCGGCAACTTATCCTCCTCCTCCTCATCCTACTCCTTCTCCTCCCTTCTCCTCCTCATCCTCCTCCTTCTTCTTTCTCCCCCCTCCTCCTCCTTCTCCCCCTCCTCCTGGGCCACGACGTGCGAGCGGTGCCGAAGCGTCGTGCAGGCAGGCAAGACGATACCTTCGATACCACTAAGACCAGCCCAGCCGAGGCCGGCCCGTCAGGACGGCTAGCCCGGCGACCTCCTGCAGTACCTGAAGCAGTGGGACGACGTGGGGCGCCTGGAGCTGGTCGCCGCGGCCGACTCCCCGCCGGCCCTGCGGGGCACCCTCTTCCCCGTTTTCAAGGACGCGAACACGCAGAGGGTCGTCTTCAGCCGGATCGCCCGCAACGCGGCCGAGCTTCCACTGGGCGGCTTCTCCAGGCTGACCCCGAGCGCCGCCATGCTGGTGGACCTGGGGGTGCCTGCTGGCCATGTCTTGCGCGTGTGGGCCGATGACCTCCAGGACTTCCACCCTGCCTTCGACTGCACCTACGAGATGGCTCGCACCAACGACGTGGCCCTCCCCCTCCCGACGAGGCTCTACGAGGGCTTCGCGGCGCTGGACAGGTTGCGGAAACGTTGTCGTCGCGAGGGCCGCGACCTTCCTGAGACGGTGGTCCCTTGCCATGGCGGTCTGATCATGGGAGGCCCGAGCGCGCCCGACTGGGCGCGCGAGTCCCACATGCGGTTGCTCGCCCAAGCTGGCAGTTCCCCCCCGGAGCGGCGGCTGCTCAACCGTCACCTCGCCCCCGATGGGGCCGCCTGGGAGAGGGTCGTGCTGGGCGACCACTTCGGCCTGGCCGTTGACGCCCCTGGCTCGCGGGCAGCTCGGCGCGCGATCGAGGACTCCTTTGCCCGTGCGCGCGAGGGCCGCGCTGGCGCCGGCCTCAAGGTCAGTGCGAGCAAGGAGGTGAAGGACGCAGCGGAGGCGACGGTCATCGGGGCGGAGCTCTTGGGCCACGACCGGCTCGTCGGCGCCTCCCGCACCCGCAGGCTGGCGCTGGCCTGGATGGGCCTCTCCCTGGCCCGAGGCCGGCACTCCACCACGCTGGGCCTGCAGAGGTTCCTGGGCATGGGCCTTTTGGCCGCTCTGTTTCGGAGGCCTTCCCTGTCGCTCCTCCACCACTGCTACAAGGAGGTAGACGCCGGTCGCGACCCTCACGAGGTGTTCGGCCTGAGCGGCGCTGCCTGCACTGAGTGCGCCCTGTTCGCGGTCCTCCCCCCGCTGATGACCGCGGACCTCTCCGCGGGGTGGGGCCCGCACGCGCTGGCCTCGGACGCCTCGCACCTGGCTGGGGCGTCCGTCAAGACGCCCGCCCAGGCGCCCGTCGCCCGCGCTCTCTGGCGACAGCGCGAGCAGCGTGGCGCTCGTACGTGGCTTCGCCCTCCTGGCTGGGCGGCCCTGGCAAACCCCGAGGGCGGCGACGTCTTGCAGGATCTGGGGGAGGACGCCGCCCCGTCCCCTGGCGTCGTCGACCCTTCGGCCTCGCTCATCGAGTACTTCGACGTGCTGGAGCTCTGCTGCGGGGAGGAGGCCCGCCTCATGGGTCACATCGCGGGCCGGGGCCTGCGCGCGGGCCCAAGGATTGACATCAAGTGCCACACGTACTGGGACCTGGTCAACTCGCGCCTGGCAGAGTGGATCATTTGGCTGATCTGGCAGAGGCGCGTGAAGATGACCATTTCTGAAGTGCCGTGCACCAGTTTCTCCATCGCGAGGCGCCCGAGGCTCCGGTCCAGGTGGCGGCCTTAGGGCTTCGACCCGTCTTCTACTCCGACGTGGCTGGGCAACGTCCTCTTCAGGCTGGGCATGCTGGCGCTACTTGCGCACCTGCTCTCGGGCTATGGCACTGGCCTACATGGGCACCCGCTGACGGCCTATTCCTGGTTCACGCGCATTGTTGAGTTCTTGCTGTCGCACGACGTCGTGGAGCGGTTCGACCTCTCGATGTGCCAGTTCGGCGCGCCCTGGAAGAAGGACGCCAGCCTCTTGGCAGTGCGGGGCTCCTGGCTGGCGCCGATGGCGAGGCGCTGCCGGGGGGGTCACAAGCATGCCATTTTGGAGGGCGGCCTGACCTCCAAAGCCGCGCTCTACCCGCACGGCTTCTGCGACGAGCTGTCCTGGCTGATCTCCGAGAACCTGGGCTGGCCTTCCCCGCCGCCGCAGTCTGAGGGAGGAGCGCCCCCTGGAGCGTTCGAGGCACTCTGGCTAAACGACTACGTCAGCTTCGCCCCTCGGCAGCTGCACCACCACCGCTGCTTCCGCAAGCCCCTCCACATCGACCTGCTGGAGATCGAGGCGGCCTGCGATGCGGTGGACGAGCAGGGCCTTCAGTTCCCTGACTGCAAGCATAACCTCTGCCTGGACTCCCGCGTTTCGAGCGGGGCCATCAGCAAGGGCCGCTCCGCCTCGGCCGCGATCAATAAGCTCTTGAGAAGGAGGGCCCCCTTGCAGCTGGCCGCGGGCACGTACGTCGGATGCCACTTCTCGCCGACTCGCCTGCAGCCGGCCGACGCCCCGTCGCGCGCGTTCAGCGACCCGGCGGGCGCGGTGGTCAGCGGAGCCGAGGCGCCGCCTCCCGCCCCGCCCTGGCTGGCCAGCCTCGAAGCCGGGGACGCCTCGGCCTTTCGCGCCTGGGCCGCGCTCCCGCTGCAGCGCCGGCAGCAGTCGCGGTGGGCTTGTCTGGTGGCGTGCTTGTGGTGGCGAGGGCTCCTGCGGCTTGCCCCCCGCCCGCGGGTGCGCGACCCCGCGCTGGGCTTTCCTGGGGGGGGCCCGCGCGGCGGCGAGATCGCGGAGCACGGCGACGGCTCGCCGAGACGGCCCCCCGTGGAGGTGAGCAGGGTTTCATCCCCTGGCCAGGCGACGGCCTGGATCCGCCCGGGCACGGCCAGCCTCCATCGGCGGCGCCGGCTCTTCGGGCCCTGGTGCCGCTGCTGCTGCTGGGCCGCGCAGAGGCGCCGCGCCCGCCGACGGCCCGCCCCGCGGGGGTGGACCTGGCGGCGACTCGCGGCCTGACGCCGTTGGCCCAGGCGCGCCGTGCGGCGCTCGTCTCGCAGCTCCAGCACTGGCTGGCTGGATGCGGCGGCCCGGCCTGGGACCTGTTCATCCTGATGGATCCTGCAACTGTGGGCCGTTACTTGGCTAACTACAGCCAGTTCATGCATGACGCGATGAGGAGCCGCCACGACTTCGACGAGACGATCAACGCTGTGGTGGATGTCATTCGAGCCCTTCGTCACCGGCTCGATGTGGCGTGGGGCATCTCCTTCACGTGGAAGCACCTCGCGCCGAGCTCGAACCACCAGGCGATGCCGGAGGCACTGCTGCTCGCGTCCCTGAGCCTGGCGCTGGCCTGGGGTTGGATCGACGTGGCCGGCTGCCTGCTCCCGGGCTTCTTCGGCACGATGAGGCCGTTCGAGTTCCTGAGGTTGAGGTTCGAGGACCTCGTGCTCCCCTCTCGTTCTTTAGAGCGCCTGCAAGCAATGTATGTGCACGTCGGCGCGCCAAAAATGAGACGGCTCGGCGCGCGCCACGAGCACATCAGGATTGACGTCTCACAGGTTGTGCAATTCTTCGAGGCCCTTTCACTTCGGTCCTCCCCTCGCTCCCCTCTCTTGCATGGTGGTGCCCGTGTTTTCAGATCCTGTCTGGATGCCCCCATTGAGTTTTTCGGAATTAAGCATTCGGACAAAGTTGGCATCACTCCTGTGTCCCTCCGCCCAGGAGGGGCCACGTTCTGGTACAGACTCACAGAGTCGCCAGACTGGGTGCGCTACAGGGGTCGTTGGCTCTCCAGTTGCATGCTAGAGATTTTTATCCAGGAGGTACGTGCTAGCAGGCTCCTCGCTGACCTCTCTGGGCCCCTCCGTAAGAGGATCCAGCTTTTCGCGGAGGCTGCCGGCGACCTTCTTTTCGAGGCCACCTGGCAGCTTGTGGCTGCGAGTCGTTTGCCGAGGCCGAGCGACGTTGACCCTCGCCCTTCCGGTCCCCGTCCTCGAGTGCCGCCGCGCTGCCAACAGAGCTCTTCGGTGCCCGCTTCGCTCTTCCCGCCCCGTCCCCGTCTTCCGCCATGAGCGGTTGTGGCTAGTCGACGCCGGACCCAACCGTGACCGGCCTCGAGCTCTCAGAAGTTCGCAGAGGCAGTGGTGAGCCCGGAAAAGATCTTCGGCCTTGGGAGTAGTGGGGCTTTTTCAGCAGAAGAAGGGCATCGCTGATTGCAGTGATTCCTCGACGCGCGTGGGCTCTGGCTTCAGGCTCTCCCGTGCCCGCCCCCCCCTTGGCTAGTCGAGACCGGGCCCAACCGTGACCGGCCTCGAGCTCTCAGAAGTTCGCAGAGGCAGTGGTGAGCCCGGAAAAGATCTTCGGCCTCGGGAGTGGAGGAGTTTTTTCAGCAGAGGAAGGGCATCGCTATATACACATACATACACACAAGACTGCATTGGCGCTTCGCGCCATGCACCTTGGTCCTAGACGCTTTGCATATATGGGTCTTTGGCGCCATCCCGAGTGGCCTTGGAAATTTGGCCCCTTCCTGCGGTGGTTTTCGGATGTTTTCGAAACTTCGGAAGGTCCCTGGCCCTTCCCGGGCCCCCGGGGGCTCCCGAAAAGCGCGGGGTGGAGGGCGAAGGGCGAGGGAATTTCGGGGAGCGCGGAGATGGAAACGGATGTGGGGGAGGACGAGTGGTGGAGCGGCAGAAAGAGTTGGAGTAGGAAGGAGCCGTCGGGGGGGTTCATGTGTACGTGCGGCTTGCAGAAATGTCTGTTAGTGAATGATGGCTAAAGGCCTTCGTAGGCCCGCGCATTGGCCGGCTCGTGGCTCAGGTGCCCCTGTGCGCAATGCGAAGGGAAGGCAAGCCATGCGAATGAATGCCAAGCAAACCGACTCAATGTCAAGCAATGCCGCAAAGCACAAAGCAATACCGAGCCGAGGATGTCATGTGGCAGCGGGTCGTAGCGGGGCACGCGAAAATAATTAAATGATCGGGGAATGCACCGAATCCCGGATTCGCAACAGATTTCCGGGAAATGTGGTTGCGAACCCGGGATTCGGGTCAGTTTGGTGGAATTGGGCCTTGTTGGAGCCTTTGCGGGAAGGTTCGGGGCCCTCTCGGGCCGTCCTGGGGCCATCTTGGGCCGTGCTGGGGAGCTTGGGCCGTCTAGGGACCTTGCGGGAGCTACGTGGGCCCTCCTGGGGGCCTCCCATGGCCTTTTCTACGGGGGCCTCCCATCGCCTTTTTGGCTTTGTCTTGGGGGCGTTTGAGGGCCTGTTGGGTTTCTTTTTGGCCCATGTGGGGCTTCTTTGGACAGTCTTGGGGCCATCCAGGCCGTCTAGAGGCTCTCTTGGGGGTCTCCTGGGCCGTCTTGGGGCGATATTGGGGGCCTTTTTGGCTGTTTTGGACGCTGCTATGTCCGATTTCTGCGTTCTGGGAGTCCTGTCATGGGCCTCCCGGGCCGTCTTGGGGGCCTCCGGGAACATCTGGGTCCTTGGAGCGCTCTTGCGCTGTCTTGGGTCTCTTTTCGGCCTCTCTGATCACCGCTCTGATAGCTCGGGGTCTGCTGGCATGACCTGGCTGAGCGCCCTGGGAGGTCCAGGACGAGCCAGGGGACCTTCGGCAACAGTGTCCAAGGGGCCCGGAAACCCCGGATCCTAGGGGTGCAGTTTTGGAAGGGGGTGGGTGGGTGGGGGTTCTCATTTCCCCGGCTTGCAAAAATATTGGAAGAGGAATATGTTTCCGCCTGCTATATTATCTTGGCGTCTGCACGGTGGAGACCACCGATCGAACTCCTCTTCCTGGTCCTCCTGCTGCTGCTCCCCTTCTCAGCATCTAAGGAGAGGGAGGAGCGGGAAGAGGAGAGGGGGATAATTGCAAGGAGGGGGAGGAGGAGGAGTAGGAGGAGGAGGAGGAGGAGGAGGAGAAGGAAGAGGAAGACGTGGACAAGCACGAGGACGAGAATAAGGACAAGTACGAGGACGAGGAGCAGGGAGGAGGAGGGCGACGACAAGTGGTTGGCGGACGTGATTGTCCGCCACGAGACGGGACGGAGGCCCAGGCTGCGGCGCGACGCTCGGGGGAAGCCGCCCCCTTTCCGATTGCGATAAGCACGAAAGGCGAGCGCACGACTGCGTTCGCGCTGCGGATTTCGGGCCACCTGGGTGCCGAGGCGCGGCTTTGGCTTCTCGCGCAGGTGCACGAGCTCCCTGGGTACACCCATTCCGGGAGCTGCAGCGCGCTCACGCTGCGTTCAGCTGCGCGCTGCGCCGCCAGCTGGCGCGGCAGCTCCGGCGCGACGCGTGGCTGCGCTAAGCGGCACGCTGGCCAGGCCCTGAACCTGGATGGGCTGCGTGCCACGCGGCGCTGAGCTGCGGCGACGGCTGGCGGCCAGGCGTGGCGCCGCCCTGCATACGTGTAACGCATGGACAATTTTGAACCGGAATAGCATCATTTTGAAAACGGTTCGTGCTCTATCCGTGCATGTACAGTCGGACCGCATGGCAAGAGCACACAACATGTTTCGTCTGGGTTTTTTTGGCTTGACTTCGGCGTGGAAGGTTGCGGCAATTTTTCTCGAAGAAATTGCAAATTGCAGGGCACCGTGGGTTTCTTGGACTTCGGTGCGTTTCGGAGCGTGCGCCCGAACCTTCAAGACACTTCGGGGCATTCAGGGTACCTTGGATTTCGTCGCCCGCCATTCGGGTTGTTCGCTCCTCGTTGCTCATCCATTCGCGGGCGCTCGTCAGCCTGGCAAGGGATCGATGGCGGATTTCGGAAACCATGCCCAAAAACCAAAGAAATTGACAAGCATCTATAATACCTTTGGTTTTTTCGCCCGCCATACCGTCTGCTCCTCCCACACAGCGCGTGCGCTCGCGGGGGCTCGTCGGTCCCGGGCATTCAGGGCGTGCGCCCGAAAGCCTAAGCATTTCACAGGCATGCAGAGTCCTTTTGGTTTCTTCGCCCGCCACTCCGTCTGCTCCTCCCGCGCAGCACGCGCGCGCTCGCGGGGGCGCATTAGTCTAGCAAGGAGGCTCTGGAGTATTCGGGGCGCGCGCCCGAGAGTCCGATAACCTGATAGGCATTCAGGGTGCATTTCGGGCGGTGCTGCGGCGTGACTCGGTACCCTTCTCTGGCGGGGGAATGGATCAGCATCGGCGTCGGCACACACACACACACATATATATATATATACACACATACATACATACATACATACATACATGCATGCATACAAACATACATACGTACATGCATACCTACCTACCTATCTACCTACCTACCTACCTACCTACCTACCTACATACATACATACATACATACATACATACATACATGCATACATACATACATACATACATACATAAATACATGCATGCATGCATGCATGCATGCATGCATGCATGCATACATACATATATACATACATACATAAAGATGTGTATATATATATATATATATATATATATATATATGCCGGCGGAAGAGGATCGGGGCCGCCAGGAGTGTGCCTGCGCCCTCCATGGGGGTTCCGGGGCTCACTTTCCCTAAGTTTCTACAGGGCTTCGGCGTTGCAGGGCCTCCGAGGCGCCAGCGGCGACCCCAGACCTCTTTTTGACTTTCGGACGGAGGCCCAAAACCAGCCCCAGAGCGTTCCAAGACGGCCCACGACGCCTCCTACACCGCACCAAGACGGCCCCAGAGGGCTCCAAGCGGCCCCCACGACGGGCCAATGGGGCCCCAAGACGGCACAAGAGGCACCGAAAACGGTCCAAAGGAGTTCCGACACGGACCCCGAGAGGTGAAGAAAGAAGCTCACAGAGGCTCTCATCGTGCCCAGGCCGCCCAAGAGGCCAAAAAAGGCTCCGAAATAGACCAGAACACCCCACGAGGCTTGAACATGATCGACCCACGAACCCGGAAAGGAATTTAGAACTGTAAAGCATAGACGCGTTTTCAAAGCAGTGCTGAAGGTGTCGATGGCGATGTGCTGTGCCAGGGGCTGTGCTGTGCCCTGCTGCGCTGACTTGGAATTTGCCATGGTGCGCTGAACTGTGCTGTGCTCAAGTGCGTTGTGGATCAACTCGCCCGTGGCCTCCGAATCCTGGCCGAACTAATTTGGATCTCAAGCCCGAGCTGTCTGAATGCAGAACTCACCCTGGAGCTGATCGCAATCGAAACATCCACTGGGACACCTCACGAAACATCCCACGAAACACCTCACGAAACATTGCACGGGACACCTCACGAAACACTCCACGAGACCTCCGTGTTAGATATCCCCGTGAGCGGCGTGGACACGTGCAGGAAGCCATGCCGCCCCCTTCAACAAATTGGCAGGCTGCTGCGCTCTGCCGTGCTGCGCTGATTTAATGCGCGCCCTGCCTTGCGTTAATGTATTGTGCAGCATGTCATTGTGGATCAAACCGTCCTGTGGGAGCCCTGACCAAATTGACGTGGATTTGAAGCTCGCGCGGCCTGAACGGTCTGAGCGGGGGTCGCACAATATATCCAGAAGCCTCTGGGGGGCTCTCAAGGCCTACGAGGGCTCAAGGAAAACCAAACACGCTCAAGCGCTTGGCTGCCACGATCGGTCCGCGGGCGGCCGCTCTGCCCGGCCTCGATCCGAAAGCCTCCTCCTCTTCCTCTTTCTCCTCCTCCTCCTTCTTCTCTTCCTCCTCGTCCTTCTCAGCCCCTCTCGCCCCTGGGCTCTGGGCGCAGTTTCGTCCGGGTTAGGATTGCAACGACGATGGTGATACTGTGCCAGGGTCTGTGTCGGGCTGCGCTGTGCCGCGCCGTCCCTTGGGAAACATGCCAGGAAACGTGTCGCCCGCCACCCCTTCAGCATCGGATCTGAATCGCAAGCGCGCCCGAGCAAGCCCCATGTCTCGAGCGCAAACCATCAACTTGCCCATTGGCGGCAACGCGCCCAAGACGACGACATCGCATCCGCAAGCGTGGGCTCTACAGACCCCCA